ATTTTTTGGGTCTCTAATTGTCATTTTCCCTTAATATTATGTGATGGATTATATTAAGTTCCAAGTTCCAACTCACGTGGAGTGCAATTCATAATAAAAATATATGTAACTCACATGAATTGGTCTCGTAGAAGAATATAGTCTATTATAATGTGGTGAATTAAGATTTAAATATTTACTAAGGAAGGTATTTACATTTAGTATCCAATCGTATCTTAAATAAGATTATCTTCAATAAAAGGATACATATAAATAATAAAAAATTGTTATTTTTTGGGATTTATGTATTTGCAATGTACTTACATACACACACTAATTATGTGGATTGCTAAAATTTTCAAATTTTTAAAGATAGAACTTCCTCCATTGTAAACTATAAGAGAATTTTAGAGAAGATTTAGCTTCCTAAAATATAAAACACTTGGACAAAAATAAAATTTCATCAATGATATTTTTTTTAATATTGCCCTTCCCATATGTTGTCTATAACATCCTTGATTTTAAACTAGATTAAACAAGTCTACTTAGATTAATTAAATATGTTAGTGAGGTGTGTGGCCAGAGAGGCCCAACGGGTGTGTGTGGTTTCAATTCCAACCCTAAACACGAGTTCGAAAGAGAATCAGGTCACTCAGGAATAAAAGTAGAAGAAATTTTGAAGAGAAAGATTTTTTGTCACGTGCCGCAACTTATAGATAAGCCATCGTGGCATGCGTTTGAAAACACGCCTAGGCATAGGTTCTTTGTGCAATGCGCCGCAGTGCATAGTCACATTTTTGCTATATTAAGTGGCAAAATGAAGCAAAAAATATAGGAGAAACAAATGAAAACGAGAGAGAAGCGAAAGAATAGTGCTAGCACTTGGAGAATTTGAGTATTTAAAGTATTTGGAGCTCATAAATATCAAGAGTAAGCTTTCTACACTTAAATCTTTCTCTCTTCTTTCATTTTCTTGATGGTAGAAGTTAGAGTTTAATTAATAATGGTGTTTTTTTATCCAAAAGACTATGAGTCTGAACCCATGAACTTAAATAAAGTTAACGGGAATAGATTAAGCTAAGTAAATATGGTATTTATGATTATATCAGGATTGATGGTTGAGGAGCATTTAGTATGAAAATCCTCATAAATATGGTAGTTAGGAACAATGTAATCCTATTAATGACCATTAGAGGGCTCAATATATTAATAAAGGTTAAAGGAAGCTAAGAAACCCTATGGGTACTTTTATATAAGCCTAGAATGAATCTTGAGCATTAAGAAGTGTGAATTATTAGTGAAATTAGCTCAAATGTGGATATCAATTATTTGCATTGTAAATGCTTGTAGAGTGACTATCATTGGTGCCATTCAAGTTTCTTGAAAGCTTTGAGAGTGAGTATTTAAGGGGTGAAACATTTGACCCCTCAAAAATTTGAGGTAACTAAAGGAATTCTAACTTAAACTTTTATGTGTTTATTAGTTATTAATTAATAAATGATAATTGAATTATGTTAAATTGATTGAAATGCAAATGTTGCTTGCTTTTCTTGAAAAAGCCTATTATGAAGTGGAGATTTAATGTATTTCAATGATTTTGAAAATTGTAAAGTTCAATGATTGTTAAAGTGTGAGGTATTATGATTATAAAAATAGGAGTTTAGTGACTTGTGTAATTTGAAGTTTAATGAAAATGTGTTTAAGAAATTCAATGAAATTGCTTATGTGGAGTGTTATGAATTAAATTAAATGTGAATTTTTCATGAATATGAATAACATGATCTTGAGAGGTGGGGGTTCATCTAGAAAAAGGAGTAAAGAATTAAATCTACATGGTAAGGCTCCTATCCTAGTGATGGCTTGTTTGGATTGATCATATTCATATTGTCCTATCTGTTCAATGAAGGACTATCCCACTAGTTCAACGAGGGACTCGAATCTAGCTAGCTATTCACTTGTTCAATGAGAAAGCTAGTTTAGGATGTATGACACCCTATAGTGTGAGAAATGAGGAAAATCATGTTTCATAAGTGAGTTGGGTGTGCCTTGGCTAGGTAATTCCCTCACAAGTGTTTAGGTTAGGGATGTTATGGATTATATACTATCCCATTATAATATAACCCACGGTTTCATGTCAAAGGAATAAGGAATATATAAGAAAGGTGTGATCATGTATATAGTGGGTAAGGGCACATAGTTGTCTGTATTGTGACCCTAATGATAATAATCATAAGTTGAGTCTTAATCACATCTGATCATATGTTATTGAATCGTGTGATTAACTTCCTTTGATGTGAAAATTGCTAAAAAGCTTTATTTTCCAAGTATGTGTTATTATGCTTGGAAGTATAAATATATATTCTTAAATGTTTTACATGGTTTGAAGAATTGTTTATATATGCCACTTGTATTTAAACTAATTGACATGTATTAGTATGGGTTAGTTGGACCTTAATTACTAAGTAGTTGTACTTACTCTACTATCTTCAATATTACAGGAAATAACTCAAGAGGATTAGAAAAAGGAAAGCTCCCAAAGGCTTAGAACCATGATCATATTTTGTATGCCTCTTTATTTTTAAGTTATTATGTGTATTTGACAATTTAAATTGCCAACTACGTTTTATTCATTTTTTGTTCTTACTTGCATTATGTGTTTATGAGTTGTCAGTGTATTTTGGGCTTAGGGAGTGAGTTGATGTTTTGTGAAATATGTGATAAGGCCAAAATACTAATACAAGTAGGAGTAGAGCACATTATGTGATGATTATAGAATATTTGATGAAAATGTGCTTGAACTCCCCCTTATATGTTTTTAAGGTTAACGAGTTGAGTAGTAAAATTATGATTTATAAGTGTTTTACTGTGACATGATACATAGTACAAGTTAGTCTTGATGTTTTGCATGTGGTTAAAAGGATGTTAATGGTTAAAGGCCTATGGTAAATGGTTTGGGCATTTAGTTTTATGAAATTTGTAGAAAAAAGTGTAAGTTTTGAAAAGAGTGTCCAAAATTTAATTTAGTAATAATTTAATTATAAAACTAAAACCATTAGTTAAAGCTCAAAAAGAGCTTTTTGTAGACATTTAGTTCATGTCAATTGGACATCGGATGGAGAATTGAGGCGCATCGAAAGTTTTCCCAAAAGCTGTCAAATTGACAGCAGAAATTGCTGTCCAAATTCATGCAATTACGCCGTGGCATGTGTCACAGGGCAAACATGCCGCAGCGCATGCCCCAAAACTTTTGAAAATTTTCTTGTCTTCAAATTCTTATACTAATGCACTCATATTTGAAATGATCTCATACTTTCACATAATTGTGAACTTTGATTTGTCTATTTTGAGAACTTTGAAAATGGTTTAGTTTTGTAAACTTGTGATCCCAACTTTTCTATCTGTTTAAAACTTGGTATTATATTAACTACTTTAATCCCATTTTTTTGTTACTTGAGAATTAGAGTTAATTATGGGATTAAAAGAAGGATGATATTACTTTATCTATTTTTAATATTTTTTTACAAAATGAGTATTAAATGATAGATATTTTTAAAAGTTTATATTTTTATATTAAAAAGTAATATTATAAAATATTTTCAATAAACTATATTGGTACAAGTAATTTAATCTAAAAGTGTGTTATAATTAAGAGTAGAGAGACTAATAACTAATAAATTGATTATCATTGGGAATTAAATCTTTAAATTTGTATGCAATTTTGCATTGTGTGTGGGGTGTGGTTATGCCTAGGAGGTTAGCTAGCAAGTAGTTGATAGGGTAATTAATTGTAACACATTCAAGAATAATTACTTGAAAAAATGATAGAAAAATCCATTTAAATTATGTAAATGACAGATTGATCTTACAAAATGACATAATTTTCCTAAAATCTCAAATGATGTTTCTGTCATTAAAGAATTATAAGAAATGACACTTTTGCCCTTTGTTCATATTTAAAAATTCTCAACTTTTCATTTACAACTTTTGTTGTTAAATTTACAACAATTCAATAGTCATTCGTAACTCCACATCTGCAAGTTCTAATATACATCAGGTGTTAAAAACATAACTTTTCATTTACAACTTTTGTTCCTATATTAACAACTTTTGTTTTTAAATTTATAATAATTTAATAGTTATTCGCAACTCCGCATATGCAGGTCTTGATATGCATCAAGTGTTAAAAATTCACAACTTTTCATTTACAACTTTTGTTCCTATATTAACAACTTTATTTTTAAATTCATAATAATTCAACAATCATTCACAACTCCAGGGATTTTTGTTTTATTTGAGAGCAATTTAGTCATTTCTTTTAATTCCCCAATGACAAGAAAATCCCATGAGACTTAAGGAAAATTATGTCATTTTGTGGGATCAATCTATCATTTACATAATTTAAATGAATTTTTCTATCATTTTTCCAAATTACTTCTCCAGTCTTGTTTATAAGTAATTTTCAACATGTTTCGCTAAAATCAAGAAAAACCTTAAAATTTATTAACTTTATTTAAAAATTTAAAAAGTTTTTAATTTTGTCTCTATTAAATATACATATTTTAACAACATATTTTTTTCTCTTCAATATTCAGTGCAAGGTAAAAGAGTCATTTGTGATAAAAATTTAATAATATGACTTATGAATATGACCTAAAAAAAAATCTTTTCTCCCACCTTATAAATAGGCCGGAGAGAGTATAAGCTTTGAAGAAATAATAGGGTTTAATTTGGCAGAAAAGTATACGATTGTTTAATTACTAGACAAGATATATTAATTATTTTGGAGAAAAAGGACTCACCATGTAACACCCTCAAATTTACAGACCGATTTTTCACAAGTTATTAATTCAACAAATCCTTTTTTTTTATTTTTTTATTTTTTTCATTGAACCCTTATCATGGTAGAAAAATTTCTACCACGATACATCCAAGACAATATACCACAGGTCTTAAAATATCTCAAAAAAAACAATTAGAACCATGAGGGACAGACATGATCCTCATAGCATGTTATTCAAATCAGATCATAAATCAAGAGGGACAGACATAATCCTCTTGGTCATATAAATACTTTTAATAAAAAGGATTAGAGTTTACATGCTTCACAAAGAAGATATGTCCTAAGTTGGCACAAGATACATTGTATAATCTAAAATAAGAGGCAACGTAAAAGATGGTGTCTCATACACCACAGTTACACCTCTGGTGCTTTCTCGGCCGGACTCGCTCCTGTAAAAATATTAACCACGGGGAATGAGACTTAAAAGTCCCAGTAACCAAAAATTAATATGTAATGATGCATGCGGATGTAACTAATCATGCGATTGCTAAGTGGGCACACAAAACATTTAACCGAACAATACTTTCAAACAAACCGAACAAGTATTTAATTTGCATGACTGCACCTTATATCCTCCTTTCGCCATGCTCGGACGCCAAATCACCCGGCCAAAGGTGAGTTGGACCAAGCGACACGCCACTCATTGGGTCCAATGAGGGCTTACCACGTGGTAATAATTAACCGAACAGAAATTCCCATTAACACCATACATTAAAATACCCTGACAAGTCATGCATCATTCAAATATCCAAACAGGAATATATCCGAACAATAATATCTCATCATGATAAAAAAAATAAATTTTTAACCCACTTGGCAATAATTTCAAACAAGTATATACAGTATTTATTTTCAATAATTCATAATTTTTCCAAACAACAAAACAACACATAACCATTCACAAACACACTCATCACAACACATTAATAATGGTTACCTTGTGTCTTGAATAACAAGTTCCCCTTCACAACTCCTTTTTCACCACTATCTTTGTCAATATAATCTACATAATTATTTCACAATACTATATATTAATTTTACATTAAAATAAATAACTCTAATTTAAAGAGTTAGAAAGTCTTAGATCTATAATCCATATTAACACTAATTTAAGATTTATGCCTCATTTAACTTCCCAAATTCTTTTCTAAAATTCTCGTACCCTAATAAACTATTTTTTTTATCCTCAAATCACTTCTAGTATCACAATTTCATCCTTCTATATTCTAAAAATTCGTCCAAAAATAAATTAAAAATTTTAGAATTATCCTGAAGCCTCAAATCACCTTTCTATAACCTCAAAAATACCTATTCATACTTAAATAAATATTTAATAATCATAGGTTTATCCCTACATCTCAGATTCCACATAAATTCAACCATATAGATCTAGATTTTAACTCAAAAATTCTTAAACATGAGTTTCAACCTCAAGAAAATATTCTATAATATTTATTATATCCCTAAGAGTTTTAACCTATATTTTTAATCCATCATATCATCAGATTAACTATCCTATAGAAAAAATCCTAATCAAAATATTTACTCTATCCTACAAAATAATCATATCACTAGAAAGCTAATATTATTTAAAAATAACTATAAAATTAATTTTGTAATTAAATAAATTTTTAAATGCTAATCTAAACAGGAAAGTTAGAACATACCTGAAGAAAAAGAAAATAATCCCCCCTTGCGAGAAAACGCCGAGCAACGTGAGAGGAAGAGAGAAAAATAATATAAAAATGGGATTGTGAGTCCCAAAATTATATAAAAAAAACTATAGGTTTGAATTTAATTATTCAAACCTTTGGGCCCAAAGTTGCAATTTTCTCTAAATTGCATCTTAGCCTCTCATGCTTCCTAATGCACACACCCCCTCCTTTTTATACATGAAGGCACCTCTTCTCTTCCCTCATCTAACCAATGTGGGACTTAGAAACAACAACCTTCCACCCCCCTTTTTTTTTGTTCCTTCTACCTTCTCTTTTTTTTTTAACACACACATAAAAAAAATTATTTATGTATTATATCTTAACTAAATATTGCTTATGTGGTTTTAAATTTAAATTTTTAAATTCATAATTAAATACCTAATCATAATATTATTTCTAAATAACCTCAAATAATATAAATTCCTATTATTATCATTTTTTTTCCTCAAAACCTAAATTCCACAATTTCTTTATTATATAAAAATCAGGATGTTACAATTCTCCCCTCCTTTTAGAAATTTTGTCCTCAAAATTTAATAGATAAGCTTAGAAACTATGTACCTAAGCAAATAAATGTGGATAATCTCGCCTCATACTCTCCTCGGTCTCCCAAGTAGCATCACCTAGGGCTCCACCCTTCCAAATCACCTTCACGAGTCGGATGGTCTTATTGCGTAGTTGTTTGTCCTTAAAGTCCTCAATTCGCTCCGGTTCGGATCTAAAGGTCAAATTCTCCCTCAATTCTACTTCTTCAGGTTCAATAACATGGGAGGGATCCGGGTTGTACTTCTTCAACTGTGATACGTGGAACACATTATGGATACCTGCAATCTGTGGAGGTAATGCAACTCTATATGCAGTAGATCCAATTCGCTCCAAGATCTCATACGGGCCCATAAATCTAGGTGTCAATTTCTTTGCCTTAATGGATCTACCAATGCCTGTCACTGGAGAAACCTTCAAAAATACATGATCTCCTACTTCAAACTCTAACGGCCGTCTCCTCTTATCAGCATAGCTCTTCTGTCGGCTCTGAGCGGTTAGCAATTTTTGCTTAATCATTGCAATCTTCTGGGTGGTCTGCTCTACAATTTCTGGACCAATGATACTCCTCTCACTTAATTCTGTCCAACATAAAGGCGATCTACACTTCCTTCCATACAAGGCCTCATAAGGCGCCATCCCAATACTAGAATGATAGCTGTTATTATAAGCAAATTCAGCTAATGGCAAATGATTATCCCAACTACCTGGTAGTTCAATGGCACAAGCTCTCAACATGTCCTCCAAAGTCTGGATCGTCCTCTCTGTTTGTCCATCTGTTTGGGGGTGGTATGCGGTGCTAAAACTCAGTCTGGTACCCATAGCCTTCTGTAGCGCACCCCAAAAGTTTGAAGTGAACCTTGGGTCACGATCTGACACAATTCTAGAGGGTATACCATGAAGTCTAACTATCTCCTTAATGTATATCTCAGCAAATTTCTCTAATGTAGAGGTAAACTTGATCGCCAAAAAGTGAGCTGATTTGGTGAGTCGGTCTACTATCACCCAAATAGCATCCTTACTCGAGGGTGTTCTTGGCAGTCCAGTGATGAAATCCATAGAAATATCATCCCATTTCCACTTTGGAATATCTAACGGTTGCAGTGTTCCAGCTGGCTTCTGATGTTCTATCTTTATCTTCTGACACGTTAAACATCTAGAAACAAATTCAGTTACATCTTTCTTCATTCCTGGCCACCACCAACCTCGCTTCAAATCATGGTACATTTTAGTTATACCGGGATGAATTGTATATTTGCTCCTATGAGCTTCTTCTAAAAGGATATTCCTCAATCTTGGATCATTAGGTACACAAACTCTACCTTTATACTTCATCACTGTGTCCTCAGAGATGGTAAAATTTGGGGCCTTACCTACCACTATCTCCTTCCTTATATTCCTTAAGTAGTCATCACTCTGCTGTGAGACTCTGAGATCTTCCCAGAATTTGCTCTCAAAGTCTGCTACCTGGAGTGCGGCCATTTGATGTTCAATCACATCTACTGGAACATCATGAAAACTGTTCCATAAATGATATTCATGAACCATCAAATGTGCAGCATGAATAGTCTTTCTACTTAAGGCATCAGCTACCACGTTAGCCTTACCCGGATGGTAATGTAATTCAAAGTCATAATCCTTTAGAAATTCCATCCATCGTCGCTGCCTCATATTAAGCTCTTTTTGATCAAATAAATACTTCAGGCTCTTATGGTCACTGAAGATTTGAAACTTAGATCCATACAAGTAGTGTCTCCATATCTTCAGAGCAAACACAACTGCAGCTAACTCCAAATCATGAGTAGGGTAATTTTCCTCGTGTGGTCTCAACTGTCTGGAGGAATAGGCAACCACTCGGTCATTTTGCATCAAAACACATCCTAAACCCTTTAAAGAAGCATCAGTGTACAGAGTGTACGGCACCACAGGGTCAGGAATAGTCAATACTGGAGTAGTGGTTAACCTCTTTTTCAATTCTTGGAAAGCAGCTTCACATTTGTCAGTCCAAATAAATGGGGCATCCTTCTTAGTCAGCTTAGTTAAGGGCATCGCAATTTGCGAAAATCCCTTAATAAAGCGACGATAATAACCTGCTAAACCTAAAAAGCTTCGTATCTCTGTAACAGATTTTGGCTGTTCCCACTTCATCACTGCATCAATCTTGCTAGGATCCACCGCAACTCCGTCTCTGGACACAACATGGCCCAAAAACTTTACTTCTTGGAGCCAAAATTCACACTTGTTTAATTTGGCATAAAGCTTATGTTCCCTCAAAACTTGCAAGACGATTCTTAAATGTTCACCATGAGCCTCCTCATCCTTTGAATAAATAAGAATGTCATCAATAAACACTACTACAAACTTATCTAAATAGGGTCGAAAGATCCTATTCATGTAATCCATGAATACCGCAGGAGCATTCGTAAGTCCAAACGGCATCACCATGAATTCATAATGCCCATATCTCGTCCGAAATGCTGTCTTAGGTATATCCTCTGCTCTCACTCTCAATTGGTGGTACCCTGACCTTAAGTCAATCTTTGAGAAAACTGCGGATCCCACAAGCTGATCCAGCAAATCATCGATTCTCGGAAGTGGATATTTGTTCTTGATGGTTACTTTGTTCAATTGTCTATAATCAATGCACAATCGGAGGCTTCCGTCCTTCTTCTTTACAAAAAGGACTGGAGATCCCCAAGGTGAAACACTCGGTCTGATGAAACCCTTCTCAAGTAGCTCTTCAATTTGCTTTTTCAGTTCCGCTAACTCTGAAGGGGACATCCGATAAGGAGCCTTAGAAATTGGCCCTGTACCGGGTACCAATTCAATTGAGAACTCTACCTCGCGCTTTGGGGGTAAACCGGAGACTTCGTCTGGAAATACATCCGCAAATTCTTTGACAATTGGGATATTCTTCACGCCTTCATCAATCTCAGCTTGGATAGAGAAGAAAACCATGTAGGCCTGGCAACCCTTCTTCATACATCTATCAACTTGCGCCGCCGACAAGAAAACATGATCTTGAGTCTCGACTGGGGTCACCGACAAAGAAGATAAAGACACACTCCTCTCTCTACAATCTAGGATAGCACCATTTGCAGCCATCCAATTCATTCCCACAATTACATCCATACCTCTCAGTGGTAGGATAATTAAGTCCATAGTTGTTTTCCTATTTTTAAACTCGACTACTAGGTTAAGGCATGCCTTAGCAGTCCTTACAGATTCTCCCGCAGGAGTAGACACATTCATATCAAAAGGTAAAATACACACAGGCAAATCAAGGTTCTTTACACAAGTTTCAGAAATAAAAGAGTGTGTAGCACCCGAATCAAATAGTGCAACAATATCATGATGAAGGATTTTGATGTTACCTCTAATGGCATCTGGGGAGTTCATGGTGTCCTGAGTAAGAGCAAACACACGGCCAGAGACAGTAGGATGTTGGGAAGGGTTCTTCATATTTGAGCCCTGGTTGTCCCCACAAAACTTTGCAATGTGACCGGGTTTCCCACAAATGTAACAGACCCAGCACTGTCCGAAATGACGACGCCCGCATTTAGTGCACTGTTGAGAGCTCGCTGTACTCGGGGCAGGGGTAGATACTGTTGGGCTCCTCTGTGACCCGTGATAACTACTATGATAGCTCCTCTGTCCTTGGCCCCTTTGAAATGGACCCTTCTGCCTTCCTTGGTTCCATGAGCTACTCGAACCCTGATGGTTTTTCTTCATAATGCCTCCGGTGGGTCGAGGGTAGGTTGGGGGTCTACTATATGAATAACCCCTCTTCTCTCTCTCGACCTCCTTCTTACTGCGAGCTACTACTTGTAGTTTTATGCACATTTCATCATAATCTCGGATATCTAGATGAGCCAATTGTTCCCTCAATTCTGGTCTAGCCTTCTCCAATAAGCGCTTAGCCTTCCATTCGGAATCATCCCTATACTGCAGGTACGTGGAGTATCTAGATAACTCCTGAAACTTAGCAATGAATGTGTCCTCATCGAGGTTCCCTTGCTTAAAGGCATGGAATTCCGCTTCCTTCTCAGACCTTAACTCTGATGGAAAGTAATGCCTGAATAATTTTTCCTTGAATTCCTCCCAGGTGAGTGTAGAATCATCCCTGGGCCCTGCTGTCTCCCACCAATCTCTTGCTCCTTTCACTAGGAGCACTAATGCTACTTGTACTTTTTGATTGCTGGTGCATGTGACTACTCGAAAGATGGATTCGAGTCTCTTCACCCATTCCTCTACCACGGATGGTTTAAGGTTACCATCAAACGTAGGAGGGTTAAACTTCCTAACAGTTTCCCACACATCAGTAATGGTCGGTGGGGCTCTCTGTTCCTCCTGCCTAATTTCCTTCCTTCTAGACTCATGATCTCTCGGAGTGGCAGGATGTGAGGAACTGCCTTCCCCCACATGACTCTCAACATGAGCCCTATCTCCATTTTCAGTTACCTTTTGCCTCTTTAGCTCCGTCAACTCTTGTTCGTATCCTTGAACCTTGTCTGTTAATGTTTTTACAAGCATTCTCAATTCCGCCAAGTCAGGCTCCTCATTTGGCAGTGGCGGTGGTAGGTGCTCATGTTGGAATCCTGAGTTACCACGAGTAACAGGCATTTTCTCTCCCCTCCTAAAGGATACAAGATATAAATAATAAAATTAGCCTAGCTATATCATGGCCATACAATGAGAAGCACCATAACAATGTATATTGCCAACCGACTATATGCTCTGATACCAATATGTAACACCCTCAAATTTACAGACCGATTTTTCACAAGTTATTAATTCAACAAATCCTTTTTTTTTTTTTTTTTTTTTCATTGAACCCTTATCATGGTAGAAAAATTTCTACCACGATACATCCAAGACAATATACCACAGGTCTTAAAATATCTCAAAAAAAACAATTAGAACCATGAGGGACAGACATGATCCTCATAGCATGTTATTCAAATCAGATCATAAATCAAGAGGGACAGACATAATCCTCTTGGTCATATAAATACTTTTAATAAAAAGGATTAGAGTTTACATGCTTCACAAAGAAGATATGTCCTAAGTTGGCACAAGATACATTGTATAATCTAAAATAAGAGGCAACGTAAAAGATGGTGTCTCATACACCACAGTTACACCTCTGGTGCTTTCTCGGCCGGACTCGCTCCTGTAAAAATATTAACCACGGGGAATGAGACTTAAAAGTCCCAGTAACCAAAAATTAATATGTAATGATGCATGCGGATGTAACTAATCATGCGATTGCTAAGTGGGCACACAAAACATTTAACCGAACAATACTTTCAAACAAACCGAACAAGTATTTAATTTGCATGACTGCACCTTATATCCTCCTTTCGCCATGCTCGGACGCCAAATCACCCGGCCAAAGGTGAGTTGGACCAAGCGACACGCCACTCATTGGGTCCAATGAGGGCTTACCACGTGGTAATAATTAACCGAACAGAAATTCCCATTAACACCATACATTAAAATACCCTGACAAGTCATGCATCATTCAAATATCCAAACAGGAATATATCCGAACAATAATATCTCATCATGATAAACAAAAATAAATTTTTAACCCACTTGGCAATAATTTCAAACAAGTATATACAGTATTTATTTTCAATAATTCATAATTTTTCCAAACAACAAAACAACACATAACCATTCACAAACACACTCATCACAACACATTAATAATGGTTACCTTGTGTCTTGAATAACAAGTTCCCCTTCACAACTCCTTTTTCACCACTATCTTTGTCAATATAATCTACATAATTATTTCACAATACTATATATTAATTTTACATTAAAATAAATAACTCTAATTTAAAGAGTTAGAAAGTCTTAGATCTATAATCCATATTAACACTAATTTAAGATTTATGCCTCATTTAACTTCCCAAATTCTTTTCTAAAATTCTCGTACCCTAATAAACTATTTTTTTTATCCTCAAATCACTTCTAGTATCACAATTTCATCCTTCTATATTCTAAAAATTCGTCCAAAAATAAATTAAAAATTTTAGAATTATCCTGAAGCCTCAAATCACCTTTCTATAACCTCAAAAATACCTATTCATACTTAAATAAATATTTAATAATCATAGGTTTATCCCTACATCTCAGATTCCACATAAATTCAACCATATAGATCTAGATTTTAACTCAAAAATTCTTAAACATGAGTTTCAACCTCAAGAAAATATTCTATAATATTTATTATATCCCTAAGAGTTTTAACCTATATTTTTAATCCATCATATCATCAGATTAACTATCCTATAGAAAAATCCTAATCAAAATATTTACTCTATCCTACAAAATAATCATATCACTAGAAAGCTAATATTATTTAAAAATAACTATAAAATTAATTTTGTAATTAAATAAATTTTTAAATGCTAATCTAAACAGGAAAGTTAGAACATACCTGAAGAAAAAAGAAAATAATCCCCCCTTGCGAGAAAACGCCGAGCAACGTGAGAGGAAGAGAGAAAAATAATATAAAAATGGGATTGTGAGTCCCAAAATTATATTAAAAAAAACTATAGGTTTGAATTTAATTATTCAAACCTTTGGGCCCAAAGTTGCAATTTTCTCTAAATTGCATCTTAGCCTCTCATGCTTCCTAATGCACACACCCCCTCCTTTTTATACATGAAGGCACCTCTTCTCTTCCCTCATCTAACCAATGTGGGACTTAGAAACAACAACCTTCCACCCCCCCTTTTTTTTTGTTCCTTCTACCTTCTCTTTTTTTTTAACACACACATAAAAAAAATTATTTATGTATTATATCTTAACTAAATATTGCTTATGTGGTTTTAAATTTAAATTTTTAAATTCATAATTAAATACCTAATCATAATATTATTTCTAAATAACCTCAAATAATATAAATTCCTATTATTATCATTTTTTTTCTCAAAACCTAAATTCCACAATTTCTTTATTATATAAAAATCAGGATGTTACACACCACACTTCAATTTTGTGCCACCAAATACATCATTCAGTAGTTTGTTGAATGATCTGTATTAAATTAGATAAGTTTGATCATGCTTTAAAATGATTTTATGCTCTATATATACATATATATATATATATATTATATTTAATTATTTAATTTTACATATTTCAGTAAGTAGATATCAACATAAGAAAACTCTTAAGAATATATGATTTAATCTGACCGTGGTACATTGCAAGTATGCCAGCACGGAAAGAAACTAAAATAAGGAAATTGGCCATAACCAACACGAAACAATTAATAAGAAAAAATGTGACAAGAAAAAAAAAAGGGAAAATGACAAAAATCCCATGTAAATGATAGTTAATATCATGAAATGCAATAATTATTATTTAATTTATAGGTACTTTCTCACATTTTGATTTTTGATCACAAAATGATATAGCTGCCTTTAATGATTATTTTACATTATGAAGCTCTACTTTGATTAGGTTAAGTACTAAAATAAAATAGAAAATGACTGTTTTTTTTTTATAATTTTGTTTCACAATCAAATGTAATTAAAGGAATCATTTTCACGAAGGAAGTAATCTTTTTAATAAAAAAGAAAATTATTTTCTAATTCATTTATAAATTAAAAATATAAAAAAAAAGAAGTTGTCATCCTATATTTTATTTCTGTTAACAGTCCTACCAAAAAAGCCTTTTCTTACATATGATGGTTACTTACTTTTAGTATTTGAACTTGACAAATAAACAAAACTTGCAGAAAGAAAGTAATTATTTTCTACCATATTTTAGGTAATAACTCAATTAAAATAGTCATTTCCGTAAACATAAGTAGCTAATAAGAGCAAATATGTCATTTCATCAAAAATTAAAATGCCTGACAAGCCGCTAAAAATTAAAAAATAATTATTATACTGTGCATTACTTAATTATGATTTGCATATTTTGAAATATTCTTTTGTCGTTCTCTCTCATATTAATCCAGGAAAAAAGAAAAAAAGAAGAGAAAATTTAAGAAGAATGAGAGGAGATTGGAAAGGCATACACCTAACCTAGCCTTTTTCATACCAGGGAAGGTGGATATTAATGTACGTGTGGGCATTTGTATTTATCTATTTGATCTTTTTTTTTAAAAAAAGAGAAGATTGCATTAAAAAATATGTGAGAAAGTTATTCATGTTATGAAACTAGGAGAAATATAAGAGAGATTTAAGATAAAAAAATGAACAAACTAAAAGAGGACTGGAGATAAAGGAGTAGTAATATTCATTTTTCATAGGTACCACAATGTGTAGTACATGGCCTTTATTTATAGGCTCCAACTTCACTAAAGAGTTATAATTTATTGAATAATAAGATTAATTCACATCAATATACAATATATAATCTTTTAAATTTATGAGTATTAAACATAATAAAAACTCCTAAGGCCATTCATTAGAGAGGCTAGAAAATGTGGGAGGAGTTGGTAGAGTTTATGAACATCCACATATTATAATATTTATAATAATTCACAAATAAGGATAAACAATAAATGACCGTTTGGGAAAAAAATAAGTTCATGTTTTTATTTCAAACGCTTCAATATTTTTTATATTTTACATTATGATCAGTTTATTATATTTGTTAATGACATACCATTGTATAACAACAATACACCTTTTATAAAATTTCAAAATTTCAATAATAAACCCTTTGTATATCAATGATAAACTCCTTATATATTAATATGAACTAGCCATACTTTTAAATTTTTTAAAATTTGATTTATATTTTTTAGATATAAGATTTTGTTCACCTAGTGAGTAATTTATCCTTGACATAATAAC